ACTAAGTAGACCACTTGTCTCTCTGGCTACAGCTTTTCTATTGCTTTCTTTTGGCAATTTTTTAGCTTACACAACTTTATAAGCTTGTTTCTAGTCTAATTTTGGTTCTGTTTCTTCTTGACCTGGAATCTCTATTCTCTGGGGTTGGGGGAAGGGGACAGGTGGCACTGTGGAGAAGTTTGCTGTAGAAAAATACAAAAGATAAGACCATGGATTGGCTGAAGCTGAAATATAACCACCTGAAAAAAGGTTCTTATTCTGCTGCTTTGCAGCATAAACTGTAAAGGGAGATATTAATTCTCTCACTGTTAACAGAGATGTCTGTTTGATTTTTAACTCTGGGGTAGTTCAGGATTTACAGGCTCTTAGTAAGAAAGTGGCTTTGTTTGTGTCCTTAGATATCACAGAACTAATTACAGAATATTCTAGGTTGGAAGGGACCCCACAAGAATCATCAAAGCCAACTCTTCCCACAACCCTGATGTTATTAGCAGCATGATCTGACCAGCTGAGCTGATCTGAGCTGATCTTAAATTCCCTGTATATATATTGAGTACTCATTTTTGTCAATAAAGGTCTAGTAGCTGTACAGGAAATAATAAGCTAAAGTGGTGTGAATGTAAATAGTTTGACAGCTTCTCTAGAAGATTCCACTACTAATTACAGCAAGTGAACAATTTCTTGTAGGATTAGAGCTGCAGTCATGAGATGTTAGAGCTACGGATATAGCATATTTCTCAGTCCTTTACTTAAAGGCAGTCTCTTCATGGTAGAGCTGATGGTTCTTTTATTCTTAATTCCATATTTATTTTCGTGGCTTGTCAGGTAGTTCATTTTTGCACATAAAGTGCAATATTTGTCCATATCAAACTTTGCAAGTTTTTGGCATTGTTTTAAAAGTAAAAAATCCTTTTTAAATTAAATTTTTGTTTTATTAATTTTTAATTAAAAATTGATAATTTTTTTCAATTTGTTTTGTCCACCTAATTTTGTTCACTTCACCACTAATTTCTTTAGTTCAAAATGAGAACTAGTCTCATGGCATGATTTTATTTTGGTTGATTTAAAATCATATTCAGCATCTGTCCGTAACTATTCATTTTTGAGTAAACTTCCAACAAATTTTAAATCTCATAGCTGCGCACTGCTATGATGTAGTATGAAAGAGGATATATGAATTATACCTATATTACAACTTTTTACTTCTCCGAACTTAAAAAATCGTGACTCCTTAAGTTAATTTTCTTCCTGAAAAGCAATTTGCTTTTTTATTTAAGGGTTGCAAAAAAAAGGCTCAGCAATTGTCTGTGGTGGATTGAGGGCAGACAGTGGATTATATATTCAGTGAACATTGCTACCTTCCTTTAAATAAAGGAAAAGAAGTCCTGGTGAAGCATTTATTGTAAGGAGACAACAAAACTCTCCATAGATATGTTTTGGAGGTGTATTAAAAACGGGGAAACACGAAGAAATGATGAAAAATGTGTTTGTGACTAATGTAGAGATGCTTTCAGAGAAATTTAGGGATACAAGTAACAAGTATAAGCACATGTTATTTTCTGTGTCGTGTTTTAGTCTTATGATTACAAAGTTGGATTCTTGGAATGAGGTCCTGGCATCCTGTGAGAAATACGGAGTTTTGAGTATTGGTCTAATAAAATTAAGGCATTTGCTCACAAAAGGCCTTCAGCAAAGGAGATAAAAACTAGACAAAACTTACAAGTACAGCTCTAAAGATGGAAATACTAGGACGGCATAGGCTGCTTTTGATAATCTCAAGACTTGACCTTGGACTTGATTCTGAAGTTCCTTTAAACAGGAACTGCAGTTCAACCTCAGTGGAAAAGAAATACTTTATGCTGTATATTTTAAAGCAATTTTTTATAAAAATTTGGTAACATTGAGGATCAGGTTAAATCTGAAATATCTTTGCATTGCAAGTTGTTTTCAGCTTCAGTGGGTTTTTTGTTGTTAATTGGGGTTGAATAGTATTTTTTTCTTTTTTACCTGAACTTGATTTTACTGATTAATTCTCCATGCTCTGTTAGTTGCAGCACAGAATTTCTGAGTCCAAATGCATGTTGCTAAGGGTGTGATCTTGGATTTTGATAGAGAAATCCAGCTCTGGGCACCTAATATTGCTGTCCAGTACCAACCTAGAAAGCAGCTAAGAATAAACTGGTGTCCTGGTTCATTCAGGAGTGTCACACTGGATTCTACAGAGCTTGAAGCCTCAGGATACTTCTGGCAGGGTAGAAGTGGGCATATCTGCAGAGCTCAAATCCAGTTAATGGCTAAAGAGCTCCTTGGACTATAAAATTACGTATCCCCAGTATTTGTACATGTGAATCAAGCCCTGTTTTATTCAGGACTGAAAAAATGGACACATTTCTGCACAACTGGAGCAGGTTTTTTTGTTTTGTTTCTTTTTTGGGTTTTTTTGTTTGTTTTTTTTAATTAATATTCTCACTCTTAATTTCATAGAAGATGCATTGTGAAATAAGGGCTCTTTTTTTCTTTCTGACTACAACAGTTTCACTGTGTTAGTCATGAGTTCTCGTGTTGCTTTTTCATCTTATTTGATTTTTACCTTCTGGGACAAAAAAGAAAAAGAACAGTACACAGACTCAGAACTCGTGGTGGGAATGAATCTGGACAGAAAAACTGTGCTGTTGTGTTCAGAGCCATTTCATGCTGGATTTATGTTTTACAAACGGATAAGTGACAAAAGAAATTGTGATGTGTACTACACATTTGCCCAGAAGGCATGAGATAAACTCTGTAGTCATTAACTTGAAGCGTAGTTCATAACAGACTTTCCTGTTACTCTTGAGAACATTTTTGCTCTGCAGTGCATAATTTTTCTATTTCTTTGCTTGCCAAGGAATTTCTTTGGTTTATGTTGCATCAATCCATTCTATCACTGTTACAGTTTAATAAAAGATGATAGGATACAGTAGGATATTTAGGTATATAAATATATATATATGGGTCTACCCTAATATTTACACAAATCCATACTTAGCTTGCAGAGGGATGTTTAAATTTCAGGCTTACTGTCCAGAACTTGACCTCCTTTTCTTGGTTCCTGCTTCCTTCTAAGAAGTTATCTCTGCCTTATTTTGCTTATGTAATGGAAGATGATAATAAACTGTCATTCTTGCAATGAATTTTGATAAAGATAGGATTTCTCTAACTTCTAGAGTTTATAAGCTGTACCCTGGAGGGGATGTGTGGGATCTGACAGTTACTAGAGTTCAACTGTACATTTCAACTTCTAGAATAATTTTTTAAATCCTTACTATTTCAGGGATTTAATGTCTGTGCTTGAAGGGTATATTTTTTCTTTCTTTCTTTCTTTTCTTTTTTTTTTTTTTTTTTTGGAGAAAAAGAAATTTGAAGGCAACATGATAGTTGGCTTGGAGTACTGAATAAATCAGTTGTTTATTTGAGAAAAAGGATTGTAAAGTTTATTCGAAGATGCTTGAAAGCTCTCTGAATGATGCTTATTTGCATGTTTGCTGGTTTTAGGAGAAGGAAAGCACTAAACTGAATTGCTGCATATGAATTTTCATTGATTTTGTATTATGGAACTCTGCTTACTGTATGAGCAGTGAAAGCTGTAGTGCTTTTTTCCTTTTATGGTGGTTTTGCTTTTATTATTTACCTTTTACTACTGGGTACATAAGTGGGTGACTGGTTTGACTGAATAGAGTCACTGCCTTCAGTTGTGACTTTTCACTTTTTTTGCAGTTAATATATAGCTCATATTCCTAAAAATAGTCTTAGTTTGAAATCAGTAGTATCAGCACCAAATTATTGAAAGCAGGAGGTGGAAATGAAAGTTTCTGTAGCACAGTGGCCGGATCTGATTTCATTTCAGATGTTTTGGGTTGCCTCTACCAGATCTCCTGCAAGGACCCCAAGCAATAATGGCACAGGTTTTGCTCATGCACCAAAGTTAGTTAGTGACATTTCAGCTACTGATTACTTTATGTACATCCTGTGAGGCTGTGAAGGACAGAGATCAGTTTGTAAACGTGTACCAGTGCTAATTCCTGTGGTATCTGTTGTAGTTACGTGTAGCTTATAACTACAGTTGTTCACCTGGGTACTGAGTTAAATGCAGTTCTCAGAAAGCGCTTTTAATTTTCATATGAAAAACTTCTCTGCCAAGTAAACGCACTGTTAGTTTCATGCCCTGTAAAAGAAATCAGTAGAAAAATGAATCTTGAACACTAGAAAAGATCTCACAATGTAGAATCTAAAACCAGAATTCTGGGAGGTAGAGGAAAACTTCAAATAAAGTGCATGAGTTCTTAAATACTTGTGAGTGGAAACCAAGCAACATTTTCTCTCTTTCAGCAAATGCTATTTCAAGATAGTTTTGAAGGATTTTAGATCTTATGGAAAATACTCATAAAGGGAGATAGTGCAAGAGAAAATTTCTTTCTGAGTCTCTTTTATGTTAAAAAATGTCAGAAAATTGTGTATCAAACTTCGATTCTAACTGTATAATACCTATACAGAGAATGCATCTTTAAGTCTAGATTGTTTGAAAGGTTGGAGCTAAAAGATATACTCTGCAGAATTTTTTGGTTCAGAAGCTGTCATGCAGAAGCTAAAGCTGAACAGTTTTGTCTCCTCCTGCACTGGAAGGCAAAGCATAATACTGAAGAATTACACTTCACTCACTGTGATATTACCAAGTAAGCCCTGGAGGGAAAGAAAGGGAATTTCATTCTAGACTGTTTTCATGTTATGTTTCTCTTGTATTCATTCAGGTGATGAGCTAGCAAACTAGCCATCCCTATCATTATTGTTGTCGTCATTTTTATTATGATTATTTTATTACGTTGACAAGAAAAAAGAAATAACGCTCAGAAAATTGGATGCTTCGGTTCTGGGGAGGACAGACTGATAGTGGAGAATGGCTTTGTTTTTCTGTGCCTTCTCTGAGGTGCGCTTTTCTCACTGTTCTCGCTCTGGCTGTTGTGCAGGTGGTTGACCAGATCGACACACTGACGTGTGATCTGCAGCTGGAGGATGAGATGACGGACAGTTCCAAAACAGACACACTGAACAGCAGCTCCAGCAGCACAACAGCCTCCAGCCTGGAGAAGGTCAAGGTGCGGGGCAGCGCGCCGCTCATCAAGCCGCCGGCGCACCCCTCGGCCATCCTCACCGTGCTGCGGAAGCCGAACCCGCCGCCTCCTCCGCCTCGGCTCACTCCTGTCAAATGTGACGAGCCCGCCCGGCTGCCCCCCTTGGCCAACCCAGTCAAGACGAACGGCACGCTGCTGCGGAACGGGGGCCTGCCCGCGGGGCCCGGCCGCCTCCCCAATGGAGATATGTGCTGCATAGCCAGCGCCAGCCTGGAGAAAGTCGTGATGCAGCCTCTGGTGCACAGAGCTGAGAAGGAGCGGTGTGCCCAGGCGGGAGCCAGGGAGCGGGTACGGTTCAGTGAGAAGGTGCAGTACCACGGCTACTGCCCCGACTGTGACGTTCGGTACAACATTAAAAACAGGGAGGTGCACTTGCACGGCGAGTCGGCCCGGGCTGCAGGAAAGCTGCCACACCAGTGCCCTCCTCTGCCACCTCCTCCACCTCCGTTGCCTCCCTTTCTTCTGGAAAATGGAGGGTTGGGGATAAGTCCCAGTAACAGCTTTCCTCCTCCAAGACCTGCAACTGTGCCTCCACAAACTGCGCCAAAACCCCAGAAGACCATCTTGAGGAAATCAACCACTACAACAGTGTGAAGTATGCCCCTTGTAATAACTCTTTGTTTTTTCCTATATATAAACATAAATAGGTAATGAGCACTTTCTACTTGAGCAATAAAAAGACCCAATGTATTACACCCTGTGTCCAGTGAAGTGGCATAAAAATCACATGGTAAGTACAAAGAGGAATACTTGTTGATCTTATTTGTACTCACCAAAAATACCCTTATGGTGAAGGGTGCTGAAAAAAATACTCATTCTTTAGCATCAAAGTTGTAAACATCTGTAGCAGTTTCTTGTTTGCAGCATGGTTTAAAAGCCAGTGAAAAAGACAGTTCAATGTGATAGATTTCAGTCTGTCTGACATAAGGGAATAACCACTTCTCTCCTGGGTTTTGAGACTTTTCAAGTGTCTTTTGATGAAGTGGAGTACGAGATAGCAGCCTTTGACTGAATTCTAGCAAATGCTTTTTTTTCTCTTCATGAGTGCTTGAGCAAACTCACCATATGTGGGGTGGTTGCAGTAGGAGATAATCACTGGACTCTCTGCAACTTGGTCTTTGGAGGGGAAAAAATGCTTGAAACATGTGTTGGCGTGGCTCTGGAAAACTGAGTTGCATTTTGTTTCTCACTGTCTTAGTGCATCACTACCGATGTAAAGTACAGAGCACCAATGGTCCCATTAAATTCCCCTTTTTTCTCCATCTGCAAAATGGTATTTTATCTCACTGTGCAATGGCAGTAGACTGACAAAACAAAGCCTAGCCCTTTGTTTTTCACAAAGCTTTTGTCTGGTGCAAATCTTCTTTTTGAAGGCAAGGAAAATGTTGCTTAAGGCCTCCAGGGACATCCACTTAATTCATGTAAAGAGCTTTGAAGTTGAAAAGCTCTGTGCAATTATGGAGCATTAACATGCAAAACAAGATATTTTACATGTTATCACATTTTGATGGTGAACCCAATTAATATTCTTACTGGTTGAAAAAAAGTCCTCACTGTTTTTAATTATTTTATGAGAGAACATCCTTTTATTCTCACAAAGAGAATTGTAGGGACTTGGAGTTTAAAAAAGCATCCAATCAATGAAGAAAATCTGATAATAAATCTGTTATTTACAAAACTTGTGCCAAAGTAATCTCAATGGCCGACAGAAAATGCTATATTAAAAAAAAGTATGCTTATTTCAGCTGAAATATAAAGGTACTTTATGGCAGAACAGGAAAAACCAGACAAAACATTTTAAATTTTAATTTATATTTGCATCTATTCATAGGTATTAAACAGATACTTATATTTCCCTGTATACGTATTCTAGTACTTAAACCAAAATAATATGAATAAATGTAACAAAAAGTCCCATCAAATGACTACTATTTATAAACCTTTGCATTAAGCAAATATTTTATTTTGTGCAAATGCACATCCAGTGTCTAAAGCTTCGTGAGTATTCCCTACATAAAAAGGAAAAGAAATCATCCTAAATTCTTAATCATGTTTTCCCCTCGTGCCTCCTATGTGTTTTTCATGATGCACTATTGTTTGACTGTACTTAACCCCACGAGAGCTGTTGCCAAGTGCAAGTAAGTCCAGGCACTCGCAGCAGGAGACAGTAACTCATTCTGCATCTGTGTGACATCTTTGCTGCCCAAATCAGGATTTTGGCAGGTGGATTCTGCTCACGTGCTGGGACTTCACAGCACCTCCCTTGCTCATACGTTGAAAACCACATTTAAAATCACTGGAACAACAATGTGGACATATCCACATTGCATTAGCTTCAGGTTTTTCTTTTAAAAAGAAAATTCCCGCTGTCCTTACTTATCACTACTATACAGATCATACACCTGTAATGAGCTAGTTTATTTTTTTTTTTTGCATTCTTAAACGTAGGAGAAATAAGTTAATGCAAATCAAATATTGCACATAAAATATTAAAGGAAATAACTGAGTCATTCTAGGGGGTTATGGTTTGGTGCATATGTGTTACCTCACTTAATTTTTCTGTTATGAGCTCATCTCTGGTAGAAGAGCATGGTATTTCTGGTCTGGGCTTCTCAGAGCCTAATGAACACGTTCTTCCAATCTGGACGCTGTACTCTGTAGATGTGCATTGATATGTAAATTTCAGGTTTTTTACAGTTCTCAGCTCTGGAAAGCTTAAATAGCATCCGAGTTTCAGCAGTTAATGTTCAGTTTTGGTACCCAACATCTTGCATCTTGTACTTTGTCTTCTTCTCCAGAAGTGCTTTCTTGTCTCTTTCCCCGTGCCTCCTGAATATCCTCATATGATATGGCTGTGCCACGAAAGGATGTAGCTTTTCAAATGCAATGCTGTCTTTGGCCAGAAATGGAGAATCAAAATGTGATGGGAAAACATTGTTTTTCTGCAAAGTTTGACAGCCCAGGCTTTCTTTAATACAACATGTGCCAAGGTCTCTGTTAAATCAGTACAAACATTGAATCAATTATATTTTAATGAGAATGTCTCTGGCTTGTGTCCTATTGTAAGGTATTTGTGTCAGCGTGATAATTTCACATTAATAATGTGTCAGAATAAAAGTAAGGTTAAAACAGGTAAACTTGCAAAACGTGGGAAACAATTAAGTTTAAATTTTGCAGCACTGTTTGGAAACTGCTAATAGAAATGGCATAACATCAAATGCATCAGTGTATTCAGCCAGCAGTATTTTTTACATTTATATTAGGAATATAAAGTCTGTGAAGCAATTTTGAACATCTGTAGTATGCTTCACAACTTCCCGAGGAAAACCCAGTAAACTAACCAGAACTGGACAAGAGTTGTCTGCAAATGTAATATTCTCTGAGATTACATGTAGTGTTTTGCAAATGTGCTAATACCTGAAAAAAATGAAAGTCCAGTAACAGTACTCAGAGCTTTAAGTCAGTGTTTGCCATCACTTCAGCCTGCTGTCTAGCTTTGATTCCCTAAGGTATTTTAAAATGTGAACTGACCAGATCTAGACTTCTCAAATGCAAATAGAAGAAGGTGGTTTCTATCAATTTAATGAAGGGGAAAAGCTTAGGAAAATTAGAATAAGAAATGAAAATTACTTAAGTTGTAATAATGGTATTCATTAAAAAAAGCTAACACATTAATGCCTTGTAAGAAAGGAAAACTAGCAGGGTAAAATCCAATAACAATCCTTTTGAAGGACATAAAGTGGAAATCTTGGCTCTTTCTACCACCTGGTAAAAGTCACATTTCTCCTTCTCTCTAGTCGTCCGGAGTTGTTACATCTTTCATCACATCATCCATTTTTCTTAAAAACAAGAAAAAATTCCAAATCTTCATTGATGTTTTTATTATTAAATCAGTATTTTATTTAAAATATGGCATAAAATAAGTCAAGTACACTACAGCTCTTGTTATTAGCTTTCTTCAGATAACTTGTTTTATTTGTTTTGAAGCAGAGAGCAGTATGAATTCTTTAATTACCAGAGAGATTTGTATAGGGATGTTTGCTCAGATCTCTTTCTTTCAATATTCTAATGGTGGCTTTCCTTTCAGTAAGGCCACAAACAGTAATTTTACATGTGCTTGTAAAATCATACTGTGGTTTCTGTGTCACTTGTCTGATGCAGTCTTAAAGTAGGCATGAGTATGTGGCACACATTTTTGCAGAGGCAGCATTCCTCACACCCTATTTGTATATATGCTGTGAGCCATGCTTTTTCAGGGACTATACGTGTGTGTTCAGAAGCAAAATACCTATCCACTGCTCAAACTAGTAGTACTGTTGAAAGCATAATGCTCACAGGTGCAGAAAGGTCTTGCACAAAAGCATGTGGTAGAAATGTTTATGGTAAACCTTGCTAAGCACTATTGCTGGAATACTCAAAGTGAAAAAAAATGTGGCATCTGTTATATAAACATGTATTTTTTAGGGATACTTTTGATACATCTCATGCAGTATTTGCATGCTGCAGCCTAAAATTTCTGTATCAGCACAACTGAAGCAGCAGCAGCAGTGCTGGTGTTACTGGCTCAGTATCCTGTGGAGCACTGCATGCATGCAAACTGCAGTACAGCCTCATCTTTGGCAGCAGTTTGATGGTTTTTAGCTGGGAAAAAGTAGCGGGGATTTTATCTCAGTCTCCTGTTTTATGGTGGCAAATAGTCCAACAGAGCAAGTTTCTCCATAAGTCATGATTTTGGCAAGAGATTTGTGGTAATCCATCTTGGGATAGCTCTGGAGAGCACAAGCAAGCAGACTTTCATTACTAATCTTAAATGATTTGACGTGTCTCTAACTCATGCTGGTCAAAGAGCTCTCTTGTTATCTGAGACTGGAGCTGCTGGGATGAATGGTCCTGACCATGTATCCTGCTGCAGGAGAGAGACCCATGCTCGACTCAGCCGGTGCAAGTCTGCTCCCACTCTCTGTGCCCTCGCATTTTTTCATGTGTGGCAATGTTCTTGTTGCTACATGGTGGGAGAGCTTTGTTAAGAAATGACACCTGCAATGTGTTCACCAGCTGAGCTGTTTTGTTTCAGTGGTGAAGCATGGCTGTATTTAAGTTGCACAGTCTCTTGTAATCCTAAATCTTTAGAAATTTTGAAGCAAAGGTTTTCTTACTTTTGAGGTAATCATTCTCCTGTCAGGTTGTATAAATAAGATGAGAATTATCATGCAGGTATGATGAAGGTGGACTAGAACTTTTAATGCTTTGAGGGACTAAGTTTGTTACTGCAGGACTATGTATCTTTTGTTGTATTAAAATGGTTTTTATAGACAGGTGAGAAAAAAGTAGAACATAAATTGCACCCTATAACCAGCCAAGAGCAGTGCTTTGAGAAATGAGTAGAATCAGAATAATTCTGCTGCCTTGTTTGGGAAAGATAAAGAGTGAAGGCCCAGGAATTTCTGCATCTTCTCCTCATGACAAGAGGTTTATTCTTTAATTCCTGAAATATTGGATGTGTATACTGCAATTCTTTAAGGAACTTAGCACAATCTGTCTCGTTGTTTGCAAATAATATTCATGAAAAAGAAAGTTTTTGTAAGAGCTTTCTGATATCACAGCTGTCTCTAGATGTTGTTTGTCTGATATTTTGAATAACTTTTTATGCAATCATGCAAGCAATAATGGGAAAAATTGCATAAAAAGGGAAAATAATTGGCAAATTATGAAAAAAAAGAACTTTCAACA